CCTTAAGAGAGAATATTATGAAAATGATATACAGGCGGTACATGACACCAGTCAAGCTTGCAAAAATCTATCATTTGCCTGATAATAAATGTTGGAAATGTAAAGAAACTGAAGGTACATTCTTTCACCTTTGGTGGACGTGCCCAAGGATTAAGGCTTTCTAGGAGATGATTTATAATGAAATGAAAAAGGTATTTAAATATACCTTTCTGAAGAAACCAGAGGCCTTTCTCCTGGGCATGGTTGGCCAATTGGTGTTAAAGAAGGATAGAACTTTCTTTATGTATGCTACAACAGCAGCAAGAATACTTATTGCAAAGTATTGGAAGACACAAGATTTACCCACTCTGGAAGAATGGCAGATGAAGGTGATGGACTATATGGAACTGGCGGAAATGACTGGCAGAATCCGAGACCAGGGAGAAGAGTCGGTGGAAGAAGATTGGAAGAAATTTAAAGACTATCTACAGAAATACTGTAAAATTAATGAATGTTAGAATGATGTTGGATTGAAGTTAAGTGGTTTTTAGCAGCAATGTTATAAAGGAATATGTAAAAATGGATTGTTAACAGGTGATAATCTAAAGTTATAATATATTAAGATAAAAGATTAAGATAAAATCAAAGAGGGAAAGGATTTGCTGAATTAACTAACTGAACTGGAATACAAAAAAGGGAGGTGTGAGGAGGTCAGGGAAACAAGCAAATGAAAGATAAGATATGGAAAGACTGATCTGTTTTTAACTGTTTTTACCTTGTATTTTCATTTTCTATTTTTTTTCTTTTTTTCTTTCTTTTTTCTCTTATTTTTGTAATATGTTGAAACTTTAATAAATATCTTTAAAAAAAACAACAAAAAACATGGTGCCCTCCAGATATTGCTGGACTACAGCTCCCACCATCCTTGACCATTGGCCATGCAGACTGAAGGGATGGGAGCTGAAGCACAACAACACCTGGAGGCACCACTTTGACCACCCCAGATCTACACTGTGAGAACTAGGGCCTCTTTTAACTGCTTGGTCACTGCTTAGCAGCAGCAAACACACAGATGCTGTTCTACTCTTCATACATTGCTCAGTGATGGCAGGCAGGAAGCATGGCCTACAGACAGCCAGACCACAGAACAACCTCCTCCTGAACACCATCAGTTCTCCTTCTTTTGTTTAGTATGTTGGGCATATAAAATATGCCCTTTAATTTGGCTTTAAGTGCCTATATTGAAAATTCACTTCATACGCCCTTGGTGGTTTATTTAATTAAGCCCAGCACATACCTATGACAAGGCAACATTCCACAACAAGTGAGTGAAATACTGCTAGTCCCATTGAACACCAAAGGGAAGCAATTATTTCTCCAGGCGCCTCATTTAGAATCACATTTTGCCAGTCATGGGGGACTGTTGGATCTCATCATGTGAAAAGGGTTAGGAGTATGTTAATTTCAAGCAGGCAATCACATAATTAATTTACCCAGCAAGAAAACAGAGTTCACAGGACAAGCCTGCTGGAAGTAGCCGATTCCAAAAAATGACCTGTGGCATGTGTTATTACACTGAATTGTCTAAGGGGTTAGCTCAGTTCACCAATTAAAAGCTTGCTAAATAAACTCAAAAGGGATATCCGCCTTCCTTTGTATTATGGTGTCTTGGTAAAAAGTTTATTTTGGGTTTCAGTTCAGCTTTATGTAATTTTATTATTGCTGGATTTTATTTTTATATCACCCTTCATGATATCAGTTTCAGAGTGGTTTACAAATGCAATTAGAAACAAACAAACAAAAAAGCACAATGAACAAAATATACACTAACTCAATTAAATTAATTTTAGAAGAGCTTTAGATGTACCATCCTTCAACTAAAGTTCAAAGCAACAAGATGTTGAACAAAATAAAAATGTCTTCATCTGACATCTAAGGGAGAATGTGTTAGGCAGGCCTTTTTAGGCAGTACCTTCCATAACTGGGTCCAAAACTGAGCAGTTCTCTCCACTGGCGGAGGAAGATGAGTATGGGGGGAGCGTACCGTCACCAGCAGCGCAATCCCAGTGGGGTGCCATCGCGGCTGGGCCCCCCTGCCCATACTGGGTGCCATGCCCCTGCAAGCAGCAAGCCATGCCCCCAGGACGCACACCACACCCCCAGGACGCATACCACGCCCCTGGGGGCAGCACACCATGCCCCAGGACATGTGCCAGCCCTGCCCCCACCTGCTCTCCGCCCCCCCCGTGCCGGAGCATGAAACTCTGCCACTGGTTCTCTCATTTGTTGCCACCTGCATGATCTCAAATGGTGGTGGAACTCTAAGAAGTGAATCAGTGAAATATTTCAGTGTCTCAGCAGATGTATGTGAGAGATATGGTCCTTATATACCAAACCATCAGCAGGTGCTCTTAAATCCACAATGGCACCATGCACGGGAGAAAGTGTCTGAGGTGCCTGCTAAAAGTGGCAGTTATGAAAAAGCATGTAAGAAGCTGTCACACACCAAGTCAGACCACTGTTTAACTGGAGTCCTCACACAAGCTAAGCAAGAATCATGACCCTAGACCCCTAGCCACACACAAGTTAGAAGTTAGAAGCTCTTAACAGCAGATTTCACTCCCAAGCTGCCAACTGCCTATCACTAATATGGGAAATAAGATGGCATATTTCATGGAGCCAAGACATCTGCCAAGCCAGTATTGTCAGTAAAAGTTGCTTTGGATTATGGAGACATGCCAAGAAAGAGACCCATTCATCAAAGTGCTCTCTCTCCCTCTTTTAAACAGACATTGCAATCATTACAGTATCTGTAGATAGGCCCATTTTCCAGGTCACAGTACTTTATTTGAAGGAATCCTCTGTTTGCATCTCACTCTATAAATTAACATGTGCAATTTTTATGCAAGTCATTTTGTCCTCTTCTTTTGGTGATACATGTGCAGCCACGCCAGCTATACAAGACCACCATAAATGCAGCACTGGAGTGGTTTTCAAATCCCATTCCTCATACTTTAAGATTGGTTACAGTCCCTTCTCGCTCTCCTGCTCCCTGCTGGCAATCTGTCACCTCCAGAGCAACTTTGGTTATTCAGCTTGAATTCTAAAGATATTCCCTCAAGTTCCTCTGTCTGCAGTAAACCTTCCCTGGTGAGATTGCCTTGAAAACTGTATACACTTTGTTAGAAATTATATTTGACAAGGGGACTGTGTGTTCTCTCGGCTCGGAATTGTTTTTCATTCTCATTAGCACAAATTGCATCTAATGCAGCACAGGAAATGTCAGAAGAACGTTTCTCTCATGGCAATTTTTGAAGCCGATTTCTGCTGCCTGTCTGTTCCCAGCTCCCAGTTCCTGAGTTCCTCTTCTCTAAGCATCTTTCAAAACAGTAGCAGAAGATATCAGAAGCAGTCTCGGGGTTTGGGCATCCTGTATTTTGAAAATAAGCTTTGGAATAAAATATTTTATTTGACTACTGTAAGAAATGCTAGTGCTGATCTTTCTCTGAGCTTCTAGGGATTAGTCTGAGCAGCAGTAAGAATCTTAAAGCAAAGTGTGTTTTGGACTTAGGGTAAAAATGCACCCTCAGTGGTTTAACATGAACCAGCTAAGACTGGATCTGTCAGTTATCACTAGGTTCCCAAAATCTCGATGTTTCGCCTTCACTTTTATTTATAGCTGTGAATTTTATCACTCTGGCCCAGTCCCAGAAATTTTTAAGGTTTGTTCCTATAAGCCAGCAAGCCAGTAAATAAACAGTATCATGACACCACTGATATGTCATTGAGTGAAGCAAACCGGAATATCACAACATGGCTTACAGGTTGGTCCAGCTAAACAGACACTATCTCCCAGATGTGGTTCATTATGCGATATTGCTGCTTTAGTGCCACAAACAATTTGAAATGCTTATTAGCCTCCACAAAACCATAAAAGCCAATGATCGGCAGGGTGATATTGAAGCTAGAGTCCTGGGCTAAGACCTGGGAGACAAGGGTTCAAATCCTCTTTCAGGTTAACCTCACTAGGTGACCTTTGGCCTGTAATCTCATTTCACAAAGAATATTGCAGAACTGGAAAAAAGGGAAAGCAAAATGATCAAGGGCCAGGAGCAAGTTTCCTATCAGAAAAGGTTGCAACATTAGAGGCTTTTGAGTTTCGAAAAAGGGTGGGTAAGGAGGGCCACAGAATCATTGAATTGGAAGGGACTAAAAGGATCTTCTAGTTCAACCCCCTTGCAATGCAGGAATATTTTTCCCACCCACAACTCTAAGATAAAGAGTCTCATGCTCTACCGCCTGAGCTATCAAGGTGGATGAGATATTTGTAAATGGTTTGGAGAAAGTGGGTGGAGATAAATCCCCTCCCCCACAACAATACTAGAACCCAGGACCATGCAAAGAAGCTGAATGTTGGGAGATTCAGGACAGACAAAAGAAAGTGTCCAGTTAAATGATGCAATTTGCTCCAAAAAGATGCAATGAAGGCCACCAACTTGGAAGACGTTGAAACAGGATTAGACAACTTGATGGAAGACAAGGTTTTCAATGGCTACTAGCCATGATGGCTATGTGCTACCTCTTCTGTCAATGTGTGTCTGGATACTAGTGAGAATGACAAGTGAGGAGCATGCCTTTGCACCCATGTGCTGCTTGCAGGCTTCCCATAAGCATCTCAGTGGACCTTTGGTTGATCCATCAAGCTCCTCTTCTGTTCTTCCTGTCCCTCAGCCTAACCTGCCACACCCAGTTGCTCTGAGGACAAAGTTGATTGCAGAATCATATATTCTACCTTGAGCTTCTTGGAAGGAAAGGCAGGAACAAAATGTAATAATTAATGAATCAATCTGCCAGCACAAAGTTGCCAGTATATGCCTGTGTTCCTACCCCTCAACAGTGATCTGAAAAGCCATAACCCAATGGACGGTGATCTGGTCTAGAACTATAGGACCTGATAGGAGTAGGATATGCAGTAATTGACCTCTACATCATCTTACATCATCTTGCAGCAGTGGGGAAAGATGGGAAAGAGGAGGAGCCAGAAAGAGCTGAGAGATCAGCTCTTTCTGGCTCCTCCTCTTCCTGAACTGTTTCTATCCAAGCTGATCTTTCTAACTGGTTCATAAATTTAAGTTCTGCTTTCCCTTCTCCTTTTTCCTTCTGGTTTGTCTTTGACATTGTAAGCCTAGGGACTTTTAAAATTATTAATATATGAACCACTCTGGGACCCTCTTCTGTTGAACATTTATTTTTTCCACCCTAGCTTTGAGGAGAAATATTTTAAAGTTCTCTCTCTCTCTCCCCCACCCCATCCACTCCTACATTTTCATTAATATGCTGCACCACTGACTTTTATCCAGTCAACTGGGGAAAAAATCCCTCCAAAGCAATAAGAGGATAAAAACCTTTCTGAAATAATTGTTTGATCCTGTGTGAGGCATTTCTCCCTCATGTAGTCTTTTAGATTCCTTATTGAATATAGTTAGGCTAGGGAGAAGTCAAAAAGAGGCAGATCTTTGACAGAATAATAACCTCATGTTTAAGAATGAGGGTTGTAAATAATGAGGAATCACACTGATAAGAGCAAATATTGGAGTAGTCTTTATTCCCCCATATATATATATATATATATATATATATATATATATGCATTTTATATCATTAGGAATTATTTTACTTTCTTCTGTAATTAAGAGGTTATTAGATAACTTCTCTACTACCAGCTGCTTCTTCCATGATGTGGAAGAAGTCAAGCTAAGATTACTCATGTTAAGATTACTAAGGGTGAAATCTTTTCTCCCTCTATGTTGATAGCTGGATGGGAGGGTTAGGGGAGCACATCAAGAGGAGTGTAATTGATGGGAGTCTCAATATGGTTCATGTGTGTGGCTTTAGAACCATGGAATCCAAAACCCGGTGAATCCCCAAATAAGCCCAATCTTTAAGCTCCTCAGATGCTACAGCCCTGAAGTTGGCACAAAAAAAGGATAAAAACTGTCCCATGCCTTTTAGGTAAAGGGACCCCTGACCGTTAGGTCCAGTCGCGGCCAACTCTGGGGTTGCGGCACTCATTTCGCTTTATTGGCTGAGGGAGCCGGTGTGCAGCTTCCAAGTCATGTGGCCAGCATGACTAAGCCGCTTCTGGCGAACCAGAGCAGCGCACGGAAACGCCGTTTACCTTCCCGCTGGAGCGGTACCTATTTATCTACTTGCACTTTGAGGTGCTTTCGAACTGCTAGGTTGGCAGGAGCAGGGACCAAGCAATGGGAGCTCACCCCATCATGGGGATTCGAACCGCTGACCTTCTGATCAGCAAGTCCTAGGCTCTGTGGTTTAACCCACAGCACCACCCGCATCCCTCCCCATGCCTTTTAGGGATAGGCAAATATGTCAATGTAGGTTTTTCTCTGCTTCTCATTTTTTAAAATTTTAAGTTCAGCTCTCCACATTTCCACAACAGTTTGCAGATTATTATTTTGCAGTCCTCATTAAAATTCTTACGTGAATTTATCCTAATACGCAATTTTGTCTAGCATACACATTTTTTCAAAGCAATTTCCCCTAATATAATGCATTTTTGTCATTTTCATTCATGTGTGCATTATTATTATTATTTTCATTTCCATACCGCTTTATATTTTTAAGGGGAATCTAAAAGTGGTTTACAACCCACATTAAAATATCAAATAAAGCAACCCAGAATAAAGCATTGCTGAAGTAAGTCAAATATAAAGTATACATTCAAATCAACACACTTAACAGGAAACTAAAATATTATCTTAAAGATTTCAAAATAAAACATTACAAAGGAGGTCAACTACAGAATGCACATTTAATGCAGCAAAGTGAACAAATTTCCGAAGAAAACATTACTAATGGAAGCAAAATATAAAATGCACATTTAAAAATACATAATTAACAAGAGAATAACATATTATCATAAGCACAGGATGTACCTGCTCCTGTTATTGTTACTGCCAGCCCTTCCAATGGTTGTTCATGGTGGCTGCTGGATAACCTGGCCTTGCACTAAGAGGCAGCCAAGATGGCCTCTGTCCACTTCAGCAGCCTCAGCTTTTTGTAGCTGGAGTCAGTCAGGGCCCCACCCTCCCAGACTAGATAGGGAAGAAACCTTCAGGGAGCAGGTCTTTCAGCACTCACAGCCAAGATTCTCACGCACACTCCACCTCATGGTGTGTGGAGCCAGTGTGGTGTAGTGGTTAAGAGCGGTAGTCTCATTATCTGGGGAACCGGGTTCGCGCCTCCGCTCCTCCACATGCAGCTGCTGGGTGACCTTGGGCCAGTCACACTTCTCTGAAGTCTCTCAGCCCCACTCACCTCAGAGAGTGTTTGTTGTGGGGAGGAAGGGAAAGGAGAATGTTAGCCGCTTTGAGACTCCTTCGGGTAGTGATAAAGTGGGATGTCAAATCCAAACTCTTCTTCTTCTCCTTCTCATGACTTCTTTTGTACATGTAACTTGGCTGGAGAACTGCATTGCAAAATTCAGAGAAGTGCGAATTTGAAAGGATGGCTGTGTTTTGATTCACACATTGTTTCAAAAAGTGTGATTTAGGTAGGCCCATCCATAAATGATTATTTCCCAGGCAAACTTGATGGTAGCCAGCCTCTTTTCCCTAGTCTGTCCCCTTTTACCTATTCTGCGGATAATGTGTGGACTGACTATTATGGTATTGGCTTGTGACTACACCAAAATATGAAGAGAATGTTGTGGCTCTGCTCATAATAAAATGCAAATTAAAAAACCCATTCACCTGTCAAAAGACACAAGAGTCAATAAGCATGATGCTTGCGGTACCAAATGCACAATAAATCAATTTATTCTTCAATCCTAAATAGGACTTTATTTTGAGTAGATATGTATAGGATTGCACTGTTAAAGGATTTACTTCAGCTCTGGGCTAGCCAATGATAAACCTAAGTTTTAAAGTTTCTTTCAGAACCACAGCCCACTGTCTCAAAACACCTTCTGGTCAATTAGTGCTCTTTGCTCTTCTCCAGTTTCACTTTTTATTGTCCTGTCGCTCAGGGATGAATTAGCAAGTAGGAAATACCTGTCTCTGTAATTGGCACCTCTTCCTGCCCTGTTTGGCAGCTGAACTGGGAATTTGCCATCTGCTTCCCTCTCCCGGCTCATATTTGTGACAGTCAAAAAAGACTGGGGAAATGTTTTTGGGTAGTGCAATTTCATGATTATGCCGCTCTTGTCCACAAACAGCTCTCATGGCTTTGATTTCATTACTGTATTGTATTATTCAAATGTAGCCTATTTACTTCAACCACCACCACTACCAGAGAAACAAAGAGCAGCTACCTTTCAGTTAGTTCCCATTGACACAGCAGCAGGTTACAAAGGAACTGCAGGGATATAATTGCACGCGGAACGTCTGGGTTCCGTACCCATCTCTCATGTCCTATTAAAAAATGAATACCATTTAGAAATTGCTTTGTGGCTTAGAGCAACAATTAGCAAGGCCTATGGTGAAGAACAACTTGCTTGCCACTGTTGTTGTTCATCCACAAAGTGTGTTGTTACTGACACTCTAATGACATGATTAATGAGACGTTGCATTGTTGCTCCTCCTAGACGTCTGTCAACTACATACCATGTAGAGAACACAAAATCAAGTATACTCAGGAATGCTTTATGCAGGAAGAGCATTGAATATAGCCTAGATATACTGAATGTGGTGTGTGCGTATCCGGGGGACGGGCCCCTCCCTTCTTTTTATGATAAATATAGAAAAGATACAAATCAATCATTAAATTCAAAACCAAATATAATTAAAATGACAGAGGTAATAAACCAGGAGAATAATGTATGGTATGGATGTAGCTAATCTTTAAATTTGTCATTCCAGCATGTAATAAAGATCGTTCATCTCCCAACAAATTGAATATCATACATTTCTATTTCTCATGCCTGCTTATAATAGGCAGGTTTCATCATTAGCACTCCATCCCAAATCTTGAAATAGCTAATCAGAGGGGGATTTTCTTTTTCCAATAGTAAGCTGTAATTCCTTTTTGGCAGCCATTCCAAAACGGATCACCATTTCTAGGTCTGTTTTTTTCAGCAACTATGGATGTGGGAATTTTCCAGGTACCTGGAATAGCTCCCTTACCCAGAAAACAGCTACTATTCATGAGACTGACCTTCTACTGTTTAGTAAACATCCATGTTGCAGTTCAGGCTGCTTGGTCTACAGATTACTGCTCAAGCAAAAAAATTCATGTGCAATAAATTCAGGTGATCTTTCTGCAACAGGTTGTACATAAGTCAGGAATCTGAGGAGCAAGTGCTCTTACGATTCTAATACATGCTGTTTCCAGGGTCTGTGTGGTGGGTTGGGAGCGAGGTCTCATTTTATCCCTAACATGTTTTCAGTTGTTTCCTTTGCTCCATATACATCAATGGAGATAATATGGAATGCTGACTTTTATAGAACAAGTGTAAAAGAGATGAAATCTGGAAAAAACGTTGGAGGATTGCAGTCATTTGTCCAAGAGCCTTGTAGGGATGGGGAATCAGTAATATGATTTTGGGTGATATTCCAGTTTCTCTAGCACAATAGATTTTTCCTTGTGGAACAGAACTTTCTCCTACTCTGTCCTGGGAACCCCATGTACCCTCAAAATCTGTTCCAAGGGGATAGGGAACCCCTTCCCTAAGTAAATTTTGGGGGCATGCAGAGGAAGGGCAAATCCCATTGTACAAGCAGAGTTCCATTTGCAGTATATTGGATACAACTCATATATAGACTGACAAGATAAAAAGGAAAGGAAAAGGAAAGGGATTCGGGTGGCACTGTAGTCTAAACTACTGACCCTCTTGGTCTTGCTGATTGGAAGGTTGGCAGTTCAAATCAGAGCAACAGGGTGAGCTCCCATTGCTCTGTCCCTGTTTCTTCCAACCTAGCAGTTCGAAAGCATACCAGTGCAAGTAGATAAATAGGTACCTCTGCGGTGGGAAGGTAAATGGCGTTTCCATGTGCTCTGGCTTCCATCGCAGTGTTCTGTTGTGCCAGAAGCAGTTTAGTCATGCTGGCCACATGACCTGGAAAGCTGTCT